CGGCATTAGGAAGGTTGAGAACTGCTGTATTAGAGGGTCTATCCCGAACTTTCCTGTCTGATGAGACCCTGTGTATTTGGCTCTGTGGTAGATAACAGGTAATAAAATGTAGAAGATAGTTCCTGCCTTTAATGTATTATTCACTTAGTGTTGTCCAGTGTTGGGATGTGGTATTATTTCCTGATCTTACACTAACATTGGTTACTAATGATACATAACCAATACTCAAATAATAATTCTAATGTTTTTCAAATTGAAATTTAGTGCTCCTACACCACAACCTCTTGAATGTCCTTTCTTTCTCTACTGCTTTTACTCTTCAATTTTATCCATGAGAACTGAATATTATTTGCCTTACGTTTGTCTCCACTATCAAACCTTCACGGGAGGCAGAGTCACAACATTCCAGGACTTTCATGATGAAGGAGATAGTTTAGAGATTTTGATTTAAAGAAACTGAATACATGTTTTGTAAGTGAGAAGTATGAAAGAATAAAGATTGCTTGTCTTGGAATCCAGAGACCTGAATTATAGTCCTCAGCCACTAATGGTGAGAATGGCTAACATGTACTGAGCACTATGTGCCACTCACTTTTCTATTAACTCGATATGCTGTAAGCAGGAGGGTAGTACGTATTATTATCTCCATTTTACAGACAAGGAAACTGAGGTACAGAGACTTAAGTAACTTGCCCCAATCATGGAGTTGGTTTCTGATAAGCAGAGTCTGGTTTTGCAACACAGAGGCAGTTTGGCTCCAAATTGGTGCACTTAGCTACTATCCTCTATTATCTCCTGATAAAAAGCTACCATTGCTAACATATGCAGCAGGTTCTGTACTGGTTTTCTGGAATGTTATCTCATCTAACTTTGCTAACAACTGTGAGGTAGATGATATGCCTTTTCACAAGGGAGAAAACTGAGGGTCAGAGTAGTACTATTATTTAGCAGACTTAAGCTTCGAAACCAGCCTCGGGCCTCCAAAAGCTTCTCTAACCCTCGAGCCATCGATATCGTTGAGCCTCGGTTTCCCCATCTTTGAAATGAGGGTTGTGGAGCAGGTGTCTCAGGTCTTTGAGCGGTGGGTGTAGAGATAAAAGATATGTCCGTATATGGGTGTGAGAGGTGGAGTATAAACTAGTGAAGCCACAGTGGCCGAGGGCCCAGCATAAAGGGGGTGGGTGGATGAAGTTGCAAATACGAGTAGGAGTCTAGCCATGGAGGAGGTCAGGGGGTGTTGATTCAAGCGAGGCCTATGGGATAGCAGAACGGCCTGACAGCCTGTCTCTGACCGCCTGGGCGTTGCCGGCGCGGGCCAGCGGCCAAGGGGGAAGCGATCTCTGGGACCAGGTCCCGGGACAGCACCTCACCCGCCCAAATCCAGCTCCACAGGCTTCCCCAAGAACGCTAAAGGAAGGGGCGCGGCTTCCCCGCCCGCGTCGCAGAGCGCCACGTCCCTCTTGGCTCAGGCTCCCCCAGGCTCCTTCGCGTTCGCGCTCCACGCCACCCGCCTCCCAGCCCGCCGGCGCGGTCTCATCTCGCCTCCCGCCAATCAGCGCCTTCCGCGATCCCAGCCGGACCAATCAGCGGCTGCCTGGGGGTGGGGGCTGTCGCCATGGCAGCGAGGAGGCGGAGCGCGCGTTGAGCAGGAGCAAAGCTGTAGGCTGGAGAGACAGGTCTGTGAGCTGCATAAAGCTGCTGGCCAAGAAGGGCTAGATGAAGCCGATGACCTCGAGGTGGGTGCGGATCAGTACGGCGGCAGGCTGCTGCAGATCCTACGATACAACTTAGGTCTTCGTCTGCCCTGCCCCGGCAGTGAGGATGGCGGGGGCCGCACAGTGGGTGGGCACGGGTGGGAGGGGGCTTCCAGCTCGAGCCTGAGGCGCGGGGTGCCTTTCTCCGCTCCACTCGCTGCAGGGCACCCAAGCTTTCTTTGGGGTGGTTGAAGGTGGCAGACTCTTGGCGGGGAGCAGGCGGGGGTGGGTACTAGATTGGGACCGGGGCGGGGTTCCAGCCTGGCTTTGGCAGGTCGATGGGTGTGAGAGGTGCCAACTGGTGAGGAGGGTACACCCACCAATTCCCGGGTGATGCTTACCACCCCTCGCGCCGCCGAGCAAAGCTAGGCTGGTGAATCTGCTCTTCTGCTTGTTCTGTTAGGCCGGCACCCCCTAACACAGGAGAGGAAAAAGTTCTAGCCAGTTTTGGTATTGTTTTCCCCTAAGTGACGAATCACATGGGTTGTGAGATGAGCTCTTTCTGTTTGAGAGTATGAGAAAGATGGCACTTCCTTGTTGCACCTGCCAAGTAGTAACTCGGTGAGCAGATGGGGTTATTGTTGTTGCTTTTGCTGCTCAGTAAACTCCTAAATTGGATCATGTACATTTTACACAATTAAGGCTATCAAATCCATGGATTAATATGAACACCAAACGATATATTATCTTGTTTTAGATAAGGCGATAAGAGAGCAAATTTAAACGCAAATGTTTCTGATAGTCAATTTTGCTTGAGGGATGTTATGGACTTTACCAATAAGAATTGAAAGACTTAATGAGACAGTTGCTTTAAGGAATTCTTTAAAAGTAATATGACTAGTGGCATAATAGATTTAGATCAGAATATCTATGGCTTTTTTTACAACAACCTATTTAAATTATTTGTTTCTTAAGGCCTTTCCGGGTGAATTCTATTGAATAATTAGAGTCAGGCAACATTCCAGATTCTAGCATGCATCTTGCCTCTCATAGAAATTGCCCTAGAATTCGTCCTGATTTAAGCTGAGTGTGAGTTCTTGTTTTATAAAACTTGAACAAGTTCAACAAATGTTTCAACAAGCATCCCTCAGTTAATAGGGTCAAGAATGTAAACAAACAAACATGGATAGTTGGAATTAGAAATGAAATCTCAATATCACTTGTTATTTGGGTGAGCATGGAAACTTCTATTTCTCATCTTGATCTTTAAACTCTCTATGATCTGGTTCAACTTTCTATTAATAGCATAAGTAAAAAATTCATTTCTGTCTCTGTGGTTACTCATGCTGTTCTCCAGCGTCCATCCTAATTTCATTCATCTTACGAGGGTCAGGTCCTATTGTGTTTACATTTCTCTGATCTCATATCATACATTTTGTATATACCCTTCAGCATGCTTTTTGCCGAGTTGGTTTGTGGTCTGTAAAGACCCGTTAATGTAAAATGCACAATTAAGGCAATGAGAGTACCTTTGAAAAACACTCATTATTGATTATGGGCACTAATATAGAGTATCAGTAACATGATTAATACCAGTATCTTTTTGTTTTGAAATATGTTGTGTATATCGCTATAGATGTACCAAACTAATTTTGCATTATTTAGAATAATATTTAAATTACTTTCTAAGGACCATTTAGATGACTTAGGTATGCAAAATACCCTTGTAAGTATTGGGTAGCTGGAGGAATCAAGTGTAGGATTTTAAAATGTATTGAAAATAATCCTTAAAGTAGATAATCTTTTAAGCATTGTGAGTAATTGAGTTGACTATATTTGGCATGATAGATGATCAATTCTTTCTAAATAATTGAAGGTCTGGTAAGGGGTAATTTGTTATTTTTATGTTTAATACATGCAATTGGTTTATAGACTTTAAAAAACAGGCTCCTAACAATTTCAAGTAATTTATTAGGAAAAGGAAAAAGCTCAACCATTTAATGATTTGCAATCAAAAATTTAAAAATGATATGGTGAAAAGTACACTTAACTAGAATTTGATGGCCAGATTTCAATTCTGGCTTTACCAAATGATCTTGGCCAAGTCAGTTAACTTCCCTGTGTTTTATAAACTTTTATAAAAGTAGGGTGTGAACCAAACCATCTCTAAGATAATTTCTGGTCCCAGAATTCTCTGATTAAGAAAGCAGTTGCATGCTTCTATTTTTAGCAGAGCTTTTTGACATATTGTATTTTAGTTACCTGAAATAAGCATGTGTAAATAATGAACACATGGTCATTTTAATAAATTTGTTTATTGAGTGATACAGATGAACAACAGTCTGCTTTTCATAAACCTATTATCAAGGATACTGTAGCTGATTGTTAAGTGGAAAACAAGACCATGTAATGGTTTCCTTGACTGATGTACTTTTCTTCGGATATGAGCATCAGAGACTCTAACATGTATATAATGTCCTGATACAGGAAAGGGTTGAAGTTCAGCTCAGCTGGTCATACAACTATTTTATTTTGAACCTCACTTTCTCATTGACTTTAATTTTCAAAGGGAAAAATGGAATTGAACATCAGGTTGCAGTTGTCCTTGTCACTGCTGCCATCGAGAAACTCAGAAGCCATTTATTTTCCTCTACCCCACTCCTTTTCATTATTAGAATTATGACACTAACAGTAAAAAGAAGTAACCCAGGTTTTCTGGCTCAGGGCGGTGCTTTGGAGAAAGAAACCTGGGCCTTTTGTTAAAGCTCTGTTTTAATGCCCAGGAGGAAGAGATTGTGTTTCTCTTTTGTTGGATATATTCTTTTTTTTTTTCTTCCTTTTTTTTTTTTAAGCTGAGCCATCCTGCCACCTTTTGGCAGCTCAGCTGCTACTCAGCTCGGGCCGGAAATCGAACCGCTGTTGCTCAGAGCTCAAACTCTTGAGCCAGCTCTTAACCAACTGAGCCACTGAGCCACTCGGCTGGCCCATTGTCTATATTCCTTTCATTGGCCTGTAACTGCACCAGGATTTTGATTGTGGCAATGCTTAGACAGCTTTAAAGTGGCCCTTCAAAAAATGACATTTAAAGGTCGTATGTCAAACCGGTTTATTGCTGGGTTTTGTGTGTGGTTTTTTTTTTAACTGGGGAACAGTGTGTAGCTCCAAGATGAGTAGTTGTTTCAATCTAGTTGTGGAGGGTGCAGCTCAGCTGCCCATGTTGGGATCGAACTGGCAACGTTGGTGTTGTAAGCACTGCACTCTAACCAACTGAGCTAACTGGCCACCTGGTTTATTGCTTTTTAAGTTCTACAACTTTGGGTGCTTACAGAACAGATGTTCATTATTTCAGTATATAGCTATTTCATTTTCAAGACAGGAATGGCATTAATATTTATTGAGCATTTACTATTGCCGTGCATTGTGCTACTCACATTATATTCATTCTTATTTTCAACCAATCAAAAATTTATGAAGAAGTATTAGTTCAATTTTATAGATAGGAAAATTGAGACTCAGAGAGGCAAGTAGCTATTAGTAAACAGAAGTGGTTAGGATTCAACCTGCTGTTTGTTTATTTTTGATCATGCTGTGTTAATGAAAGTCGTATGCCTTTTCCATATATAACATGCATAAGATCACTCTCCTGATTATGTGATTTTATAAGAAATATACCATAAAAAGAAAAATATATATGTTCTTAGAATTTGAAGATATTTTATTTGCTTGTTTTCTTACAGACTGCTTAGAAATAATTGATTATGTTCACCAGTGAGTTTGTACATGAGCTCATTGCCTTGTAGTTTACAATTAGGTAGTGGGGTTTCAAAAAGGAATTTGAGATGTTTTGCTTTATTTCTGATTTCTGTGACTGAGATTGGGTCAAGTTTAATTCTTAAAAGTGGTGGTAAGGATAAAGAATGATCCCAGTTAAGGATTTAATGAGAAAACTTAACACTGCTTCTTGAAGTCTTATTGCTAAGCAAAGTAAGCTTTTATTTTATTTTTTATTTATTTTATTTTTTTAAAGATTTTTATTGGGTAATTGGGAGGGATGGGAACAGTGATGGGGAATTGGGGGAAGGGGAACAGACAAGTTGCTGTCGTTTTGTTCTTCAATCTAGTTGTGGAGGACGCTGCTTCACTGGCCCAAGTTGGCACCATCATTGTGCTCCTCCCTGGTGAGGCAGATCAGTCGCCGGCTTCTGGACTGCCGCTCACTGTGGTTGACAGCCGCTCACTGCGGCTGCTGGCCGCTCACACTGGCTGCTGGCTACATATGGTAGCCCATGGCAACCCACTGCCACAGGGGCTGCAGCCTACGCCGTCGCCCGCGACTCATGGCAGCCCAGCTCCAGGTTGAGCTGTTGTTCAGCATCTTAGCTGTAGAGGGCAGCGTCACCGGCCCTCACATGTGGGATCCGAACCGGGGCCCTCTGGCATCCCAAGCGAGCTCTTAACCATCGCGCCACTCGGCCAGCCCCAAAGTAAGCTTTTAGTTGGAATTCTTCCTATTTAATTAAAAGGGGAGCAATATGAGAAAACATGGGGACACCAAATCAATATCTTGCTTATTCTGGTCTTTGATTCTCTTTATTTAATATATCTCTCTCCCCTCACCATTGGAATATTATATCATTTAGTCTTCTTCCACATCATAAAAACTTGATACTTTTTTCACAGAATGTGACAAATGCATACACTATCATGTGCCATTACCACTGTAGTAAAGCTAAATTTATATTTATATTTAATGTGTTAATGTGTTTTATTTCTTTTTTTACATTTAGAACCTGCTAAGAGTCAGTGAAAAAGCACTGAGCTCGGGGCCAAGACCCACCTCTTCACTAATTTGATATCGTACAAGGCATCTCATCTCTCTGGATCTCAGTTGCCTCATCTGTAAAAACGACATAAAAATTCTTTACGTATCTGAAGGTAAGTGATCAGTTAAGAAAGCAAAAAACAAAAACAAAAACAAAACAGACTTAATGGTGGCTTAAACACACAATATTTGTTTTCTCATGTGAAATAATTATTGAAATAGGCAGTCTAGGTTAGGTATAGTAGCTTCATAAAGTCATCAAGGACCTAAGCTTTTTCCAGTTCTTTGATCTGCTATCCCTAAGGTGTGGCTGGTCATCGTAGTTCAAGATAGCTGCCACAGCTCTGACCATCACAGCCAAGTTCCAGGCAGCAAGGCATAGACAAAGAAGGATGTATCCTCTCCCTTTAGGGAGATATCATGAACCAAAGCTCAGGCTACCGGGGAAGCAGGAAAATGTAGATGGATGCATGGCTGCCCTGAATAAAATTGAGCTTTTGTTACTGAGGAGGAAGTGAAGATTTGGCAGGCAAATTGAAGTCCCTGCCACAGTACGGATCTTTTTCTCTTTCATCTCTGAGAATTGTGTGCCACGATAGCCACTCATAGAAGCTTCAGTTACTTTGCCGTGGCAGAGCTTTAAGTCTGACCTTGTCTACAGGAGGAAATAACTTTTATCTAATAAATTGTGTTTCTTTTTCTTTTTTTTTTTTTTAACTTTTATCCCAGAATTCATTATAGAAGCGTTCCTTCTTGATTGGGTATTTATTCTGTTTTTCAATTTTTTTTAATTACCCGTAAATGCTATAGATTGTTGTGCAATCTATATGTTATGGATGTGTTAGAACTAATATTTTTTGAGCCACTTGCTTTATACAAGGCACTAAAAAGACAGATAAGTTATCCTAAGGATATCACATAGTAAATCATTAGGAAGTAAATTTATGTTGAAAAGTATAATCCATCTCAGGATACAGTTAAGTTCAATATGGTTACATGAGGTATACTTTGGCCTTCCTTGTTAGTTAGAAGTTGTTGTGTTGGTTTTTTTTTTTTAACCACATAACTGTTACCTGTCTTGAAATTTCCTCTTACGTAACTACTAGCCCTGGCTTAACTTATTTCAGTATACCAATATTTAATTTCATTCCAGACTTCGTTTGGTAATATTATGTGACTATACCCTATACTTGTCGTGTGAAATGGTTCAGTTACCACTACATCTGTGAAGAAAGTGATTTGAGATAAAGTTTCCAGAAAAGGAAATAGAAATTCAGGGAGTGGAAATTGGAGGGGGGGAGGGGAGGAATCTGGAAATTTAGTCAATCTTTTAGGGATATTAGAAGGAAGATATGGAGCTAATTAAGATTTTATTTCTACAAAGTATATTTGTGGTTTTGCAAGGTTTTGAATTTTTCCTTAGGAACAAGGTATAATAATTCTTTTGCTACCTGTGCTTGGATTTCCTTTTCTTTCTTTTCTTTTTTTTTTTTGCAATCTAGAACCATTGACCCCAAATAAAATAATCAGGAACCTTATGAGTATAAAGAGAGCGTAGTTTATTTTTAAGAGAAATTTAGCATTGCAAGTCACCTGACTGAAAATGTCTATTTGCTGAATACCATTGAAATGTCTTTAAAGATGTTTTATTAACAGAAAAAGGATCATACTATGCATTGTTTTGTAAGCAGCTTTTTTCAGATTGCAGCTGTTCGTTTAATAGGCTGCCCTCCACACCAGATTGAAAGTCCTAGGAGGGTAGGGATTATGTCTATCTCACTTAACCTTTGTATCCAGCATAATGTCTGGTACTCAATAAATAATTGTTACATTAATAAATACATACAACAGATTAAACGTACTTCAATTCAGCCTTAAATTTAAAAGGAAGACGAGTAAAAGAAGGTTGAGGGAGGGAGAAAAAGATGAGGGAGGAATAGAGACATTACAAGGAAAGAGAGATAAAACCAGTTTCAGTTTTCTGTAGTTTTCACCCTTCTCACCATGACCATTCTTTTTAACCATTCCAGGATGTCTCTCACTAACAGTCAATACAGGAAAATATCTGATTCATACCCCCATCCACCCACCAACCCACCAAGTAGACTTAATCTAGGTAACTACTGGTGTGAATTTATAGTTAAGAAACCTGCCTCTGCGTTTGGATGGGAGTTTTGATTTGGTGGAGGTGGGAGGAGAGATAAGCTTTCGTTTAGGACCTGGAAATTTAGGGAAATTATTTTCTATCTCCTGAACCTAGAAGAGGCTTAAGCATTCTGCTTACTGTGTAATTTTGCCTGAGGCTCCGATGCCTTTGGGAATCAGTGCTTTCTATGTAGTTTTGAGATCACTGCCTGATTTCCAATTTCAGATCATCCTGGTTTGGATCCGTCTACCGTTTTCAGCTTAGGTCACCCCAGTGTCTCCTCTTTAGGTCTCTGTTCTTGTGGAAACGAGAGTGATAAAAAAAGGAGAAGGCCATTCTTACAGATCCGGTAATGGGAGAAAAGTAGGGTAGTTTCCGCGTCTTCTAATTGCCTCTCCTTATCTCTCATCTCTCCTTTTGTATGGACATTTATTTGTATATTATTGGGCTTATGAAAATCTGTAAACTTTTCTCTGACACATTTGACATTATCTTGGTATTTAAAGAGATTTTTATGTCATCACTTTTCTACCTAATATGCTAGCACATTTTCTATTTCTTTTATGATAAAAGTTAACATTTACTGAGTCCTTATTAAGGGGTAGAGTAAATGTTTCACTTAATTTTAGACTTAAGTAAGTTAATTGTCTTAATTATTTCTAGAACAAACACTAAAAGATGAGAAGACTAGTAGAGGGGGAAAAGTATTTTAAAAATTCTCCATCAATCAAAAACAAGACCAAAAAAAGGCAGGAAAGGAGAGGGAGTAAATATTAAAGAGTCAGGATAATAGAAAGCCCAAAAGAAGATGGTACATTTAAAACTCAAGATATGGTATTTCATTGACTCTAAGACTTCACTGAGATTAAGACATCATTATATACCATATAGAAAACATACTGCCAATCAAACAATGACATTATGCTTTATCATTTATAATTTTGTTTTATGTTTAATGAAAGTGCTTTCTGGGATTCATTTAGACATACAGATTTTTCTCACATCACTTCTGTGCATACATAAAGGAATTATAAATTAAATAAATTCATTAAGGTATTTCTAAGACTATCACATTCATAGTCTCATTCTTTTGAAAGACTTTCTTGATTCAGACTTGTATATGTGTTTTCCACAAAGAATTGTTCTCTACAGTGGAGCGTGAGGGTGATTTTCTTCTGGAAATTTATTTAAGCCCATTTTGCCTGAAATTTTCTTCCAAGCCTCTGACACTCATTTGTAAGCTTTGATGCTAGTGCTTTTTAGAAGATGACAATGGACGATTTTTTTTAAAAAGATTTTATTGGGGAATTGGGGGGAGGGGAACAGCATTGGGGAATCAGGGAAGGGGAACAGACAGGTAGACAAATTGCTGTTTTGTTTTTCAGTCTAGTTATGGAGGACGTCGCTTCACTGGCCCATGTTGGTATTATCATTGCGCTCTTCCCCGGTGAGGCAATTGATCGCCGGTCTTTGGTCGGCCGCTCACAGCAGCTCCCTACAGCTCACACCGGCTGTCGGCTCTTCACGCTGGCTGCCAGCCACTCACATAGCTCATGGCAACCCACTGCAGCCCCGCTGCAGCCTACACCGTCACTGGCGACTCACAGCAGCCCAGCTCCAGGTCGAGCTGTTGTTCATCATCTTAGCTGTAGAGGGCGCAGTATCACTGGCCCTCAATGTGGGATCCGAACCGGGGCCCTGCTGCTCAGAGCTGGTGCTCCCAGGCAAGCTCTTAACCAGCTGAGCCACCTGGCCGTCCCGACAATGGACAATTTTAAGATCATCTTTTTTCCTCAACTTGTCCCTCAATGGTTTGTTGGCTGAAATGTTGAGGTTTTCCAGTTGTCTAGAGATGGCATCAGGAATAACATCAAGTTGTTACTTTTCAGGCAACTGATTCTTTAAATATTGAGACAAACGTCCTCAGAAGACATCATCAAGAACTTGGCTGGTGATGAAGGGCTCTTGGACATTCAAACCAGATTTAGCCAGCCTTCCTTTAGCTCAGCCATCATCTGTTTCCTGCCACCCCTCCTTTTTATGCATACAGTAACATTTTGGGGAAACTATTTTGTAGTTTAAAATTTAATATGTCAATAACTTTTGGCCATAGGCATTTATAATAGTGTTGTAGTGATATGCTATTTCCTAACTCGTTCTCAGGATACCAATCTCTAGCACCTTTAGCATTCGTGTATCATTTTGAGGTATGTAAAAAAGAACATCAGGGGCCGGCCGAGTGGCGCGATGGTTAAGAACTCGCTTGGGATGCCAGAGGGCCCCAGTTCGGATTCCACATATGAGGGCCAGTGACACTGCCCTCCACAGCTAAGATGCTGAACAACAGCTCAACCTGGAGCTGGGCTGCCGTGAGTTGCCGGTGACGGCGTAGGCTGCAGCCCCTGTGGCAGTGGGTTGCCATGGGCTACCGTATGTAGCCAGGAGCCAGCATGAGCGGCCAGCAGCCGCAGTGAGCGGCCGTCCAGAAGCCGGCGACTGATCTGCCTCGCCCAGGAAGAGTGCAATGATGGTGCCAACTTGGGTCAGTGAAGCAACGTCCTCCACAACTAGACTGAGGAACAAGATGACAGCAACTTGTCTGTTCCCCTTCCCCCAATTCCCCAGCACTGTTCCCATCCCCCCAATTCCCCAATAAAAAAAAAATCTTAAAAAAAAAAAAAAGAACATCAGGAATTTCTCAGCATTTCCTATCAACTAAGCTCAGCTTTGTTTTTTCCTCAAATTACAAGGAAGTTATGCAACTTCAGTTCACTGTTAATAGGAAGTTTCTGACAAATTGACATTTGCCTTAATGATGCATGAATCCATCAAATTAGCCTCATATTTACATTTTTTTATTATTAATTGGAGGCATTGTTAGTTTCTACTGCCTTCAATTGCAGGGTTTGGCTGCTCACGGGTATCTTGTATTTCAGTAACAAAATGTAACACAGCTCTGCCTGCTTG